AAAAAACTGACAATACAGCCTATTGAAAATGAGAGAAATCGGAAGATCCAATAATCTAGACATGTAGGAACTTGTCTTCCATAAAGAGTTTGTAAAGGAGAAAGATGCAACAACTACACAAAAATGAGAGAACATCTGTCAATTTTTGTACAAAATCCAGAAAAAAAAATTGAAAGGTATCTAGTAAATTAAGGTTTGATTTTGAATATACTTACCTGTGTTGATTCCTGGTCCACTGATACAGTCATGTGCAACACGTTTTCTCAAATCAAGTCTTTTTCGTGGTGTTGATGTGCTTGAAGTTGGTGAAGCAAATGCCAAAGTAGGGGGGTCATTCCAGCCACGGTCTGAGTTAGCATTACATGCCAATATAGTGGGTGGCCCTTGGAAGTGATGAAAGTTTATTTAATACAAAAGGTTTAATCATGAAAAGAATTTAAAATATTTGGGAATATCAGAATCCCTTTAATCATTCTTATTCATAAAAAATATATTGCCAGATGAGTTGCAAATATAACTTTTAATATTAACACGCAAATGCTTTTTACATTGACCTTTCTGTATTATCATTGAACATAGATGTATTCCTTCTGTCTTTTTTAAGTAATACCTTTTCTTGTCTGGGCAGTTGTCTATATACTTGTTGATGCAGTTGCTGCCTGTGATGGCTAATCAAAGAATTTAACACATCTGACAAGAAGGTGGATTTCTTATAGATTGACACCAATATTTTGCATTTACTGGAAACTTTTGAAAAGGCAAAGAAATTGAGAAACCATAATACTAGGCCGCTGCCTAGTTTTCTTGTTAAAAGTTTTTGATAAAACTTGTTAAAAGTTTTTTTGTTAAAAGTTAAAAGTAAATGTTAAAAGCATCTTTATCTTCGTCATCAGACAATGCGAAAAAGTCAGCTCTCATAAAATTTATTTCTACGGCCATCTAAGTAGCCTTATTTATCGTGATAGTACCGCTTTCAAGAGATTCCATTTAAATGTTCCAGACTAGGGTCAAGACGTCACACAAAGTTGCCTTTCCTGTGTAAACACTTCGTTTAACTGGGACCTACATATTTGTAACATACTAAAATTGTTTGCGTTAACATATATATTCTCAGTATTTTTATTATTTACAAGACAATATCTCAGCAGATTTCATGAAAAGCGTCACCCATATTGAAGCCACCTTTCTTACCCGTTTCAACACGTATGCTAAATTTACGTCATAAAAAATTTCCTTGCATTACTTCCTGAAGTTGAAAGGATTTCGTCATTTAATGAAACAACGATGATTGTTATTATATCACTGGTAATCTAAGGGGCAATTCACGTAAAAAAACTAAGAAGATTTCCTAAATAACATGTCTTACCGTTGCCCTGATACACAGCCATAATTTGTTTTTGTCGGTCAGCTCAACACGTAGGCCCAAGAGAATCAAACTTACGTTTTCATGCGCAGATTTATTCTGAATTTGCATAATTTATGACGGAACTTTCTAGATTCCTCCGCAGCGACCAATAAATAGCTCTGTGTTTGGGTGTTCCATGTCCTTTCACAAGGAGAGTAATAGCTTTACAGTGTCCATGTCGACTTTCTGCATCTTACTTTACAATTCAAGTAAATTAAAATTGTTATTTACTTTGGTAGCTCCTTATTTGGTATAAATTTTGTTTATAATAAAAATTTCAAGGGTCCTCGTGACCAGTGGCGAAGCTAACCAAGAACAGGTGGTCCTGCTCAAAGGGGGTCTGGGGGCATAGCCCCCAGAAAAATCGCGTGGAGCCACGCCCTAGAGACCCTCGGAAAAGGGGGAAACGCCCTTCTGGATATGTTGAAATCAAGATTGCAGTGAAACATTTTTCACTGTCACATTTTGGAAAAAAGGGGATGAAGGTTCGGATCCTTTCAAGTTCCTCCTGCCTTACATTGAAGAAGTCAAAAGAGCATCACAAAAATTCTTTCTAAAATAAGTTAGATTTGAAAATGTTTTCATTGATTGAAAATTTTGAAATCATGGACTAAAAAGAAACTGCTTGTACAGATAGGCATATACAGTTGTAATACATACTGGAAACATAATTGATTCAAATTATTTAAAAAAGTAAAAATATTTTGTCACAACATGGATATGTCTGATGAACGGTAGATAGGGTCTTGAATCAATTTGTTTTGAATATCAGAGGAGACCCCTGACATTTTGCCAGTACAATACAATCTGAGTCACCGAGTACAAAAGCTCCCAGTAATTACCATTGTTTTCCTTTTCATCCTTTTCAAAGCGTCCTTTTCATCGGGACCTCTGAATTGTATGGTAGTTCCTGTTTAAGGCAGTAGGACGAACTGCTGAAATTAAATTTAAGAAAGCCCTTTTTCTGTCATGAACACTCCATCTCCCCTCGATCTCGACTTTCCTGGTACAAAAAAAAGAAGATTCTCTCTCGGCAGCAGCGGCAAACTTTTTCTACTTTCTAAAATAGGCCTTTGAATATGACTTCCTTCGCTCTCTGCAGTCTGAGAGAAAACTATATGCATATCAGGTTTCTCGCGATGTCTATGATATTCCCGACTTTAACAGTAAATAGGAGCAACAGAACGATCCTAAACAATTTGATTTCCATAAGTACCACTCCTCTTGAAACGATCGATTCTTGTATAAATCAATTGACGACAGTGTAGGGCCGAAGCTTCTAGCAGCAAAAACTTCTTCAGCAGCAGAATCATGATGTCTTCGTTACAGTTAGTTTTATCCATGATATCAAAATAGTGACTATGGCCTGAGTGAAAATTCTTTGTGACCTTTAACCACGGCGCAGAAAATCAACAAATTATACCGAAACATAGGGCTCCAAAAGTCTAGGTCCTGCCTTCATGAAAGAGCAGGACCTGAGGTCCTGCCA